TCTAGGTATGAAATTGATACTATTGGCATAGTAGAAGTTTAACACGAATTTGAAGTAATGACAAGATGCTATGTCAGGCCAAAATATTTTGTGAATAATTCCAATAAATATTTTGTGAATAGGGCATTCCACAGTGGCAATAAATGCTTTTTATTATTATTTTTTTGACAATAAATTTTCTTCAGCATTGCAATTTGGTGCATTGTGCATCTTATAGGATTTCATGTTTTTTCTTTGATAGTCCAGATCATTTAGACTATCAAAAAAAGGAGTACTAAATCTTCCAGGGTTTCTATTTATTCTATTAAGTATAATGCTTACTTAAAGTTCTAATCACAGTACTTTTAGAACATCTAACAGTTTTTACAATCAATTTGAAAGGTTAAGATTTTCCACACAAGCGTGCAAAATTGCATCATGCACTTGTTGCTGTTTTGTTGACATATTTAATAATAAATAAAAAAATCTAAAAAAGAAAAGGCCTTAACTGACTAACACATATAATTACTAACACATATAATTGTTTTTCTGAATGATAACATTCTGTACAATTTATTTAGCATCCCTAATGATAAGAAATAAAACTTGTCAATTTTACTTAACACAATTCATCAATGAATATTGTCATAAACTGAATCTACTCCAAAAACTGTTCACTTTATAACACAATAAAAGTTAGCTGTACAAGCAACATCGCAAAAGAATACATAAAAATTATTTTGATAAACCGAATGGCAACTTTAGCTTCCAATTGTAAATCAAGCAAAATCAGCCTAAAGAATGGAAATTGAAGAAAAATTAATTTAATTTACAAATACATTGTATTATCACCAATTACACCCAATAAAACATACAATGGTTCAACAAAGGGCATGTGGAAAACTATATGGGTGAACCACAAGCAATCATTTGAAAACAAAAAATTTGCAAATATACATATGCTTTAAAAAAACCCTATGTTATGCAAAAAAATTTAAAACAATATCCCGTTTAAAATAAAAAAGTGCTTCAGCCTTTAATAACATTACATAATTAAATTAAAACTTATAACTTTTGTAATGTATACTCACATAAGTATATTTATTTACGCATGGTGTGTGTGTGTGTGTGTGTGTGTGTGTGTGTGTGTGTGTGTGTGTGTGTGTGTGTGTGAGTGTGTGTGTATTAAACATAACTTTTTTAAAATAATTATTTTAAACAAATATCATACTGAGCCTATCAATTTCAAACTTTTTATATAAGCGTTCAGCATCTTTAGAATTTAATAACAAGCCTTCTGAAAATTCTTCAAGTGACATGGGAAGAAGATCTACAGGCTTTGAGAATAAATATAAAAAAATAAAAATTTATTTTGTTTTAATTTATATATACATATGTATATGTATATATATATATATATATATATATATATATATATATATATGTATATATGTATATATGTATATATGTATATGTATATATATATATATATATATATATATATATATATATATATATATATATATATATATATATGTTTATATATATATATATATATATATATATATATATATATGTATATATGTATATATATATATATATATATATATATATATATATATATATATATATATATATATATATATATGTATATATGTATATATGTATATATATATATATATATATGTATATATATATATATATATATATATATATATATATATATATATATATATATATATATATATATGTATATATATATATATATATATATATATATATATATATATATATATATATATATATATATATATGTATATATATATAAATATATATAAATATAAATATATATATATATGTATATATATATATATATATATATATATATATATTAATTTATAAAAATAAAGAAAACAACTTTTTTTGGTACTAATAGTTTCATGCCTAAAGGCAATCATCAGCCATGTAATACAAAACAAGAAACAAAAAAAACCGTTAAAATATAAAGTTACAGTGGAATGTGCTCCGTCGTCAAAACAAAACAAAAACAAAAACCTAAAAACGGCTGCCTAATCACCCGTATCGAAAATCGAAAGGAGGAACTTGCTTTTATGTCTACATTTAGATACTAATTCATTCCTCTTATTTAATAAGTTATCATAGGTGTACGATATTATGAAACACTTTTCGTATAGACATAAGTTGCATCGTTTTATTGTGGGATTGTAAGATCTACAACGTTTTAAAATTTTCCATTTAATTGTCGGGTTTACTCCATTTTCCTTTAACTTCCATACTTCCTTAGACAACTCAGTATCGTTTTTATATTTTTCGATCTTAAAAGATTTTGTATGATTAGCGTATCTAAGTTTAAAAGCAGTTTCACTTACTCCAAAATACACTTTTTCAATCCCGTCTGGAGTGCCTGGATATAGAGTGGCTTGATACACTATGTTATTAACGAGACACTGTTGATTTAAAGGGCACTTGCTTTTAGTAATACAATTGCAACTTTTATCTGATTCTGGGGGGATGCTTTTCATAATATGACGGTTATGAAAGTTAACGATTGATTTGATGTTTGGCATACAACTGTAACTCACCTTTAGAGTATTTCTATTAAAAATCTTGTGGTATTTATGTCCAACTGGAAAGTGCTTGTCAATTAAATCCAAAAAGATTTTACCAATTTTAGTAGAAACATTTTTACTATATGGGGGGTTAAACCAGATAATATTGCGCTTACGGTTTTTTGGTAGAGGTTGAATGAGTTTCGGAATATAATTAAGTTTAAATTTGTAACCAGACTTTTTTAATGCATCCTGATACAAATGAGCAGAGCTTCGAAAGCTAGTGTCATTAGATGAATTAGCTGACAACCTTAATTCTATAGAACGAGGAAGTTGCTTTATTATGCTAGGAGGGTGATTGGAATCAACATGTATATAATTTAGTTCATTGATTGGTTTACAAAATGGTCTAAAAGATTGATCATTGAGATTAAGTGTTACATCAAGGAAGTTCACAACTTTCATGTTACATTGTATGGAGATAGAAAGATTGTTATTTTTAAAAATTTGAATAATATGTTTTTTTATCGTGTCCATAAGGTGGCCACTAGCATTTTTAAAAACCGCTAAACCATCATCTCGGTATAAGCCAAAATCTGTCTTGTTATAATGCTGTGATAGCTGAAAAAGAAGAAAAACTCCGACAAGCTCACATACTTCTGCGCCGTCAAAAGCACCCATTGCAACATCAAACAAACCACTGTTCTTTTTAATCCAAGGTTGCTCATTATTAAACAACAACGATTTTCGAGCTTGTTTAATTATAAGTTTGTCTTCGTTTTTAATGGTTACAAAATTCTCAGCAAATTTAATGGCATCATTCAAAAGACTTTCATTGATAGAAGGATAAAAATCAACAATGTCAAAAATTAAAAATTTATAAAAATGCTTGTTTTTAATACCTTTGAACCAATCTAAAACGTTTTGCGTGCTTTTCCATTGATTAAGAGAGAGAGTATTTTTCAGCTCAGCAATAACGTTGGATAAAATAAATTTACTGATCCTTCCAATTTCATTTTTTGCTGGATTCAAAAGGCGGACTGTAGGTTTGTTTAAAAAATTGTCTTTATGATCTTTTAAAGTGATAAAGCAGTTAGATGGTGTATTAATTTCAATTCTGCTAAAAATCTCATGATTTTTTAACAAAACTTTCCCCTCCATATTTAACTGACTATTTATTTTTTTATATATATATATATATATATATATATATATATATATATATATATATATATATATATATATATATATATATATACATATACATATATACATATATACATATATACATATATATATATATATATATATATATGTATATATATATAAATATAAATATATATATATATGTATATATATAATATATATATATATATATATATATATATATATATATATATATACATATACATATATACATATATACATATATACATATATATATATATATATATATATGTATATATATATAAATATATATATATATACATTATATATATATATATATTATATATATATATATATATATATAATATACATTATATCATATATATATGTATATATATTATAAATATATATACATATATACATACATTTTTTGCTACATTTTAATTATCCTTTAACATTGCTTATGTGACGTTTATTCAGAAAATAAAAAAAAGAGTTGTAAAAAAAAGAGCGCATATTTTTTTTGATAAAACAAGCGCTCATGTCAAGTGAAAAATCTAAAGGTCTATATATCCACACATGCTTTATCTGAAAGTAGAAAAAAGTGAATGTTATCAATAGTTTATAATTTTACTTTTATTTATGTAAACTATTTTTATTTTACACTTAGCCCTTTAATGAAAAATAACTAAAATATGCGAGAAATTTGCTGCAGCAAAAATTAGATTCACATCACAACAAAAAAATAATAATAATAATAAAAAAGGTTGTAAAACTTTAAGTAAAAACCATGAAACTCAGCATATAATATTTGGTGAGTTTCATAGTTTTTACTTAAAGTTTTATTTCTTAATAATTTTTTTTTTTAACATAGTGTTCGCTGCATTAAGTCTGACAAAGTTGTTTTGTTCAGAAGTAGTAAAATAAAATGTTTTGACCGCCACACTATGTAGAGTTAATTTTTGAAAAAAGACTTTAATGCCGTAACTTTTGCATACTATTTCACATTTCTGGAAAGTTTTAAGTAATTTCCATTTTTGGTTTATTTTCAAAAGCTAAAAGAATGTCAAATGTTACAACCTTGTTACAACAATGTTACAACTATTGCAGAATTGCCCATTATATATATATATATATATATATATATATATATATATATATATATATATATATATATATATATATATATATATATATATATATATATATATATATATATATATATATATATATATATATATATATAGACACAGACACACACAAAATTAAATATAAAACACTCACTTGAATTTGAAGTATTGAACATGCCTATAAAAATGACATATTTATACTTACAAATGATTTCATGCAACTTTATTCTATTCTATAATAAATAAATATAAAGCATTTTCAGTTTAAAACTGTTAGTACCTCTAATGATCGTGGACTTGTTAAAACATATTTGCTCTTATTTGCAAATTTTGACTCTACAAAGTTGTACAAGTTCAAATCAGTCCATATATCCATATCATATCTTTATACGAACAATATAAACATCGATATCATATCTTTATACAATAATATAAACATCGATATCATATCTTTATACAAACAATATAAACATTGATATCATATCTTTATACATACAAATATAAACATCCACATCATATCTTCATACAAACAATATAAACTCACTTTAGCCCATAAGCTACCTGAATACCTTTTAGAATAAAGTATTTTTTTATGTAAAAAAAATATTTTTACATAAATAAAAATACTTTACTCTAATATATTTTATAAATAAAGCAAAACTTATGTAATGTAAAATATTTAATATAACTTCAAACTATTTTAAAGGATTTTTTTTTAGAATGGCTTTCACAAACCTTTTAAGCTTCTCCATTTATTGTTATGCATTATTTAAATGTACTTTTCTAAGACAATGAAATTCATCAATACTATATTATTATTTAATATAAAAGTCAATTAATAAAATATTAACTCTCTCATGTTCTCTTTTCCTTCAATTTCAACTGCAACAACTTAGTTAACAGCTTGCTTTATTAAACTTATATAGTAAACATCAGGGAGTTTATTATCTTATCAAACTTAAACATATAGTAAACATTAGGGAGTTCATTATTACTGTAAAACTATTTACTTTTAAATTTAACTTTTTTTTTCTTTCAATACCAAATTTAAAATCATTAAAAAGTTAAGCTTTTTTTCTTTTTCTTTTAAGAACATTTAATGCCTTTGTGTTCATTTGAAAAAAAAAAATTAGTTAACAAGCAATCTGCTAAGTAAGTGAATTGTAAGAGACAATATGAAAGATTTGATCCAGAGAAAAAACAAGAGAAAATTAAATTCTATATACAATCAAACAACTTAATTAAATAATTTATGAATAACTGAAACTAACAAATAAAGTTGAGGTTTATTTTACTAATGCTAATTTATATTGTCACCATGTCAAAGCAAACAAGTATTTGCCATGACATTATTTTCCTAAATAATAGGCAACATTACTAGCAACAGTTGCAGAAATTGACAGATTCTAAAATAAATAATCTACAATAAAAAATAAAATACCCTATACCTAAAAAGGTTTGTACCTATAAAATTGTAATAACTATAAAACATTGTAAAAAAACATGATCTATATTTTTTTTTTTATATTTACTATATTTGTTTTTATATGCTCAGATTCCTTTTAGCTTTGGGTTTACATTTGCACTATTTTAACTCTGCCATCTTGCTAATCAACAATTTTATAATCCATTTAACTCTAACTAAATTTCCAAAACATAAAAGAACTTTAAAAAAACATGAATATGAAGTTTTATAAAAAACAAAACAATTTTAACTAAAATATCAACTATTTTCTGAGAGAGACTGGGAGAAATTGAGGCTTCAAAAAATTGGATAAATAAAAAAAGAAGAATGTTTAAATTTTTTCCATGATCTCGTGAGATCATGATCATTATCTCAAATAGTTTAGCTCTCAATTAGTAAATGGATCATTTTTACTTTGAAAAAACAAAAAAGTTAAAAAAAAAAAAAAGTTAACTTAAAATTAGAGAAAATAAAAAACAAAACCTTTTTTCCTTTCTATTATGCTTACTGTTTTTTAAAAAAATTTTAAAAGAAAAGAATTTATAGCAAAATATTTTATTTATTATTTTTTATTTATTATTGACTAAAGTTTATAAGACACAGTTTAAAGATTAATTGAAACAAAATGACAAAATTAATAATATTAAGGAGTGGGAAAAAAAAACAAGAAAACAAAAACCTCATTCTAAATAAATACACAACTACTCCAAAAAAAAACTTCTAAGAACTGCAAAACAAAAGTAACAGTTTCATGTAAAACTACATGTAAAAGTCTAAAAAAATATAAGCTGCGCCAAAATCTAAAATCAACACTGTAACTACTGAATTTATGAAAAATGTAAATAACAAAATCAAAACATCTGCCATTATTATACAAATAAAATATGCTTAAAATTTAATTGAATTTTTTAAATTATCATTAAGCATTTAAGAATAGATCACAAATAGAATATAAAATAAAACTGAAATTCAAAAACCCAAGAAAAGATTATTAATCTATTTAAACAAATGTAAAAGTATCCATAAAAATTTTTTATAAAAAAAGACAAAAAAAGAACAAATAGAATTTAACTAACATTGCTCACAAGCTCTCCAAAATACGCCATCATTGTTTTCATCTTTGAATTGAGTAGGTTTTTCTCAATTTCAACTTGACCACCTGGTTTGACAAGAGAAGCTACTTGTTCAATATCTACATTTTTTGGTAAAAAGAGGGCAATGTTTTCAGTTATCTTCGAAGCCACATTAAACATAACTCTACCACTTACAGGTTTAATCATTGTTTCAATATCAAAAACATCTTCGGCTATATAATTAGGACCGCCCCATGGAGGGCTGAGAAATACAACATCAGCTTTAAGAGAAGGGGCCAAAAGAAAAAAATCTCCAAGTATAAAAGTAATCCGATTTTCTACTCCATATACAACAGCATTATGCCTAGCGCATTCTAGTCTAGTAGGATTAATGTCTATGGCTATAACGTGTTCACATGTATAAGCAAATTGAATAGCATTTCCACCAACGCCACAAAATGCGTCTATTATAAGATCACATTTGCAGCGATTTGCAACATGCTCTGCAATTTTTTCTGGTGTAACAGAAAACCAACCTTCATGGTCTAACTTTACACCCTCATCAAATCGACTAAACAAGCGATACCTTTGTGCCCAATATTTTTCAACACCAAGCAAAGATAACTCTTGTAAACTGTTATTTTTATCATAATTTTTTACCGTAGTCGGTTCTTTTTTTGTAAAATCTTCAGATTTTTTAGTAGATTTACGAGTTAATTTTGCAGACATATTTTTGAAAAAATCTCGTACTTGGTCAAGAAGAGAACAAAGTTTATTAGACAAAGGCTGGGTTTTTATAGCAATATCAGTTTCAAATGTTTTATGAGAATCATTTTCAGAATTTTTCTGCAAAGAAAGATTCGTTGTATTTGCTTCTTTAGTATCAATATTTATAAAAGCTGAATTCTTTGCATTAAGATTTTGGATTCCGTCAAAACAATGATCTTTAAAGTCATCAATACGCAGTAGTTTCCTTTTTAAACCATTTCTCTCCAGCATATAAGATTCACAACATAAAAAAAGTTGGTCAGCTTTTCTTTTGCCTCGATTAGAACGCAAACTAAATGTATTATAAGAGCCTTGCAGATATGTTTCTAAATCTTGTGTAGCAGGCTCAGTAGAGTAATTCAGAACTAAAGTTGAATCTAATTTCTGTTCATTAAAAGAAACGTCAGCATGTTTTGCTAGCAACAATTTTTGAAATTCAGCTACACCTGAAAGCTTATTCTTTTTATTATTTTTTCTTTTTTTCTTCTTCTTGTGATTGGTTTCTTTTTGACAAACTCTTGTAACCATTTCAGTTAAAACATCTTGTACTACTGCAGATTGTTCAAAATAATTTTCAAATACTTGTTGATCTAATGAATTTTTTTGTGTCACCGGTTGATCGACAATATTTTTCTCAACTAGTAATAAATCAATAGCATTTTCTTCAACTACGGATAGATTGGCATTTTCTTCAATGATCAATCGATTGGCATTTTCTTCAACTACCGATATATTGGCATTTCTCTCAATAGCTACTTTATCAATAGCACTTTTGTCTATTATATAAAAAATATCTCATTATCTAAATTGAATTTAAAAAAATTTAAAATTATATGTTTAAAATATATAAAAATATATAACTATATAATTAAACAATAAAAAAGTTTCATAGTTTTTTGTTTTTTTTTTGGTATAAATAAAAATGATTATATATATAAAGTTTTTATGTGTGTGTTGGTTAGTGATGTTGTTTAGTGTTAATGCTTAGAGTTGCTTTTATTGCATGTTGCTAATATACATATTATTTTTATTACACACTTTTTCTTATTTTAAATATTCTTAATTTTTCCCTTATTTTTCTGAGATAACAGCAAAGAATTGATTTGACATCATAATGATGACTTAACATTGCAAGATTAACCCAGATCCTGCAGACTGATGGAATTAAATTTGGAACGCTTGAAGCAGCTGAATGAAAGCAATCCAATATTAACTAGGTTCTGCCTAGCAAGCAAATTTAGATGAATTTGTACAAAATGGGAAAGACCTCTAGCTCGGCTTTTAGATTCCACACTGAATGCTAGTATTCTAGATCAGTGTGTGGACACCTGCATAAACATTTAGTCTTTGGGCTGCATGCTCAATTGGTTGAGCAATGTCATAACTGAAGATAAGAAGTGGGTATTCTACATAAACCAGATCAGGAAGCACCAGTGGGTAATGTAAGAACAACCAACAAAAACCAACTCTAAAAGTCAACCTACACCCTAAAAAGGTTTTGCTTTCACTTTGGTGGGATGTACATGCATTATGTACTAGTAGCTGCTTCCAATAAACACTATAATTACAGCAGCAATTTACTGTGCTTAACTCAACAAGCCTGCAGCAGAACTCTTAAAAAAACACTCAAAGCATAAATTTATCTTCCTCAATGACAATGCCTGTTCTTTCATTGCAAGATCAGCGCAGAATAAAGTAACAGAGTTTGATTAGGAAGCATTACCTGATTTTCCTAACATAGCATTGTGTAACATAACAAGCATTACCTTGATTTGCAGTGTCAGCAGATTATTATTTGTTCAAATCATCAGGCAACAACTTGTGCAATAAAAGATTTAACAACAAAAAGGTACTCCAATACCATCTCCATCACTTCTTTATTTCTTTTTTCTCCATCACTACTCCTATATCTATTGTTTGTATGACTTCTAGGTCATACAAACAAAATTATTTATTCATGGATTCTTGAAGATTGGTTATAAAAAGATTAGACAGTTGTTCATGTATTGTTGAAGATTGGTTATGGATTAAAAATAGAAAATAAATGAATTTTTTTGAAAAAATGCACTTTTTAGCCAAATATTGTATACTATTTAAGGGATCGTCCATAAAGTACGTACGCTCGGACAGGAAGAGGAGGTCTGCAAATGGTGTTTCTGAGATAAGGGGGCAGTAGGTCAATTATAAAAGTATGGAGACACTAAATTAAAAAAAACATAAAATGTTAGGTTAGTAGGTTAAAAGCATAGGTCCTTTTAGGGAGGTAGAGAGTACTCAAAAAAGCGTACTGCAAATTGCGGGGAGGGGGTTGGTTGGCAAAAAAAAAACATACTTACTTTATGGACGACCCCTTATTTTTTAAATTAAAATTTAAAAAAATTTAAAACTTAAACTAATAATGTTGAAAAAATAAATAAATCTAAAATAAATGAATTATTTAACAGTTAACTTAAATTAATAAAAAGAAAACATCACCTTTCATTTCTTCTCTATAGTTTTCAAGATACTGACAGAATGTTTGCCAATAAAAATTTTGATACCTGTCAGACCATAATTTAGTTGTCCAATCAACCATATCAGGAGAAATACTATCTCCATATGTTGAAAAAAACATTTCATTCCAGTTATTCCAAACCATCTGGTCACCACATTGTTCCCAGAACTCATTCCAACCTAATGGTAGATTTGAAAAATAAGTTGCCCATTGATTTTCATGTTCCTCTTTGTCAATAAATCCTGAATCATCTGGTGCAACTTGATGATTTTCTTCTGTAAAAAGTACTTTTTCTTTCTCAATCGAAGTGGAATGTACAATATTATCTTTTAAGCTTTCTGGATATTGCAATGTGTCATGCTCGGAGGAAATGCCTAGGATGACATTTTCATTTTTAGATAATTTGATGTTCATATTCATATCAGAGCATTGTTTGCTTTCTTTTTCACAGTTTAAGCAAACAATACAATCTTCTTTTTCAACTTCTTTTTCAACTTCATTTTTTTCAACTGAAACATAAGTATCATCTTTTTGTGTGCTTGTTTTCTTACTTTTACATTCTTCCAAATCTGAGAAGATTTTAGTTGCTGCTACCTTTTCTTTACTATCAATTGATTTAATCTTTGTAAAGGCATTTCCCTAAATAATAATAACTATTTTATCAAATTAAATACATTTATGAGAAAATAGCAAAAATTATAAAAACTTTCCAAATATCATCACACAATAATACAAAAATTACTTTTTAGCACATATCATTAATACTATTTAATAAAAACATTTTTTATTAGCATGACTTTGAGACTTTGCAGGAACCCTGTACCATTATTCATAAAAGGGCCTTTTTGCAAGAAAAAAAAACACTACATTCTGAAAATGATCAATTAATAATTTACTTTATTCACTTTATTTATGGTACACAAATTAAATTTTTTAATTGTTTAAAGAGTTAAACTTTGAGCGCTAGTAATAAGTATTTTGCAAAGCAAAATGCAACTGTTATGTAATATTGGCATCAAAAACTAAGTAAATATTAAAAAAAAAAAAAATTACTATCATATGACCAATTATTTTTAACGACCATAATAAAGACAAGTTAAATGAAACTCTATGTCAGCCTATAATAACTATAATAACTGTATTGAATTTTAATTTATTTAAGAAAAGAAGTAATAACCATAGAATTTAAAGTAAATTTCAATTAGTATGATTAATTCTTACTTAATTGAAAAGAAAAAAATTATTCATGTTTTGCATTATTGAAATTTAGGTGTAAATAAACTCAGCTTATCCTAAGACACACACATTGTATTGATATCATTTTTTGTTTTTTTTTACTTTAAAAAGTGATAAATCATGTGTAATTAAAATTAGAATTTACAATTCTAAATTGAAAAATATATAGATAAGTTTATTTAATTTAAAATATTTGACACAAAAAAATTGCATTACCTTTAATTCATAATCATCACAAAGGGCATCCAAAATACATGCAGGTAAACCCATTTTCAACATAGCTTGTTGCTCTTGCAAAGCATTTTGATCTATCTCCACATCAAGGTCTTCAATTCCATCACAAATTTCAAATAAGTCATTCTCTTTGTATTTCTCTTTTGACTTACAAATATTGTAGTAATCTTTAGATTTGGTATTGCAATAGCAATCAGATGAACTGTTAATAGCTTCAAGCTAATGTGAATTTATATAATTTTAAAATACCAAAACAACAAAATTTTTAAAGTAAATCACTTTATTTTAAATACATTACACTCATAAATATATGCATATATACACACATACATATATCCATACATACGCACACACATACATACATACATACATACATACATACATACATACATACATACATACATACATACATACATACATACATACATACATTCATACATACATACATACATACATACATACATACATACATACATACATACATACATACATACATACATACATACATACATACATACATACATACATACATACATACATACATACATACATACATACATACATACATACATACATACAAGCATACATTTGACAACCTGAGAGTGTCTGAGGTCAGCAATGTTTTCCCAATCTAGTTTTTATGTTGTTGTGGTGAAAATATTATTTTTCAAAAATGTTTTTTTATGAAATATTGAAATAATAACAACTCTTAATATCTAAGTTTAGTATTAACTAATCGTAATTCACTAAAGGGACATAAACATAAAAAATAGTAATTATATACGCAAGTAATAAAACAATGCAACTCCTCAAGGGAAAAATATCTATATGGTGAAAATATATTTGATGAAATATATATGTATATGCATATGTATATATATATATATATATATATATATATATATATATATATATATATATATATATATATATATATATATATATATATATATATATATATATATATATATATTAATTAGGGTGGGCTAAAACCTAAAAATAAAAAAGTGTCCCTCTAATTACTTGGCTTTTGATGCAATAAGAAGATTTATGACAAAAAAACCAAGTGGTTATCAGTTTTTGCTGACCCTCTTGAGGTTAATAAAAGACCTAAAAAATTTTCAAATTTCTTTAATTTTTTATAAAATGCGTAATATTTGTTTAATATTTGTTTAATGTGTATAATCTTTACACTAAAAGATGCAGAATTTAATTTTAAACAATTATTCTATATTTTCTTGTAACATTTAAATTTAAAAAGTTATTAACAGAAAACTAAAAACAAATACAAATTTTTCTTTTAATAATTGGCAAATTTCTATTGGTTGTTTTTCAGATACAAAAATAAATATCATCAAGATGTCAAAAAGATAAATAGCAAATAAATCAAATAAATACATTATGGATGAATGCTTTAAACTGTTAAAACTGTTTGGAAAACTTCCCACTTTAAAGCAAGTGATTAAATTTTTTTTTTTACTTTCAAGACTATAGAAGAGAAAATGTCTATAGTGGTGTTAGTGTAGAACTATTTAATGTGTAAATTATAATATTTATCTAAAATCCATCATTAAAATTGAAACAGTTACACTGAAAATTTTTAAAAATTTGTGAACTATGACAAAAAAAAAAAAAAAGAGAACCAAAATATGAAACATAAATAGGATTTATAAAAGAAGCAAATCAATTATTTAACGTGCCAATCAAAGCATCTATAATTTCAATTATTTCAACCAATCAAAGCATCTATAATTTCAATTATTTCAACCAATCAAAGCATCTATAATTTCAATTATTTCAACCAATCAAAGCATCTATAAATTATGAAAACATAAATTAACTATATAAAATATTCTGTATCTATGTTATTAGAGATTTCTATTCTTAGGTGACTTTTACCTTGATCATATCACACCAAAAAAAGCCAATGTAGTAGATGTAGCACATGGATTATTCAAAAATCAATAAATTTCCTGATTCAAATGCTAAGAACATTTATTATAAAGTTATAAATAATAACAGTTATTTTATGGTGATGATGATGGTGATGATGACAATAATTATATTAGTGAAAGTAATTATCCATTAATAAATAAAGATGTAAGAGTGTTTCTAAGCCCCAAAAATAGAATCAAAGCTGTATGCTATTATAAAATGACCCAAATTTCCCAATTGCACACAACTCGACCAGTTTTTAGACTGATCAAAGAAGATAAAATTCTTGAATTTATCAAAAACCCACTAAAGTTAAGATCACACCAAAATGTTAAAAAACGTAAAACTTGTTACAGAAACATTAGCTTCTGTGGTTGGTCACGATCACAGAGATGGAGTTATTTGAAACAAAATTAGGTCTAGGAAATTAATTAAAAATTTTAACATCAGGTAAAAATTGATTTTAAATTGTAATGTTTTATTTTTTTGTGTGTTTTATATATAAATAACATTACAATTGTAATGTTATTTATATATAAAACAAGTTTGGATTTTGTATATTGATAGTTAACTTGAACATATATGTAATATATTGAAAGTATCCGTTGTCATATTTTTGTAATATATGCAATTATTTCAAATATAAAACAAAAAACTTAGATTTTTTTAAATAACTTCAAAATAAGGTTTTTAGAAAAAAGTATTAATTGAATAAACAATATTCTAAATTTAATTCCTCAGTGCAATTAAGGCACTTTTAAAATATTATAACATCTGTATGATATTTTGTTGACTACAACATATTTCTGTTAAATGGTCTGGTCTGTAAATTATGAAAAGAGGAAAAATATTAAACTGATAAATTTTGTGGTATCATAAAATATAAATGTTTATAGTGAAATAACCCAGACTGAAGATTCTTTTATCTTAAAATTAAAATCGCTCGTCTAAATTTGAATAAGATTTTATATTAATACGTTTTTTAGGTGAAATGAACATTATATTTTAACAATATGATCTGTTCTGACTGTTTATTGGAAATTTTCCAAAAAATTTGTAGTTAAGCATTCATATTTTTTTAATATCTCAAAAAAATGTTTTAATTTTTTGTTATCATGATAACAAAAATATCAAGACATCTTTTCGAGATATTAAAAAAAATGTTCCAATAAATGAACAATCTAATTTTATTGTACTAAAAATTACTTCTTCATTAAGTATTACTCTTTGCTTTTCTTTTTAGTTAAAAGTACCTTTACCTTTAAGTTATGCAGGGGGAGGGGGGCCAGCATTAGAGAAAAAAAAATTACCTGTTATTCTCAATTTTTGAATGAAGACAATTTATTAAATTTCTTCTGCGTGCAATTCAATAAGTTTTTTTTTTTTATAAATCAAGTTATATCATTAAGTTAAAGAAATCACGAGTAGACTATAACATCCGCTGATGACACTAATATTACGTTGAATATATTTATATAACAGAGGTTTCATTATGCACAAGCGCATTACAGACTCCGTTAAATAATAAGGCACGTTTTAGTTTAACGACAGTCTCTATTCTTTACTAATGACTATGTATTTTTCTATATAAAATAAGACAAACTAGTATATAAAAACCTAGTATATTTCCATTCTCTTCAAATTGTTTAAAGTTTGAATATGGATTGTACTTTGAAGTACAAAAATTTACTTTGAAAACTTTTAAATCCTGGAACTTTGACTTAAATTATTAAAATCAAATGTAGGTTATGTGATCTTCATCAAAATAAAATATTATCCAAAACCAATGGTGCTGTATGGGCAGCTGCTCTACGGTTTATAAATAACACAAGTCATGTTAAAATATTTTAACATATTTTATTCAAGTTGGTATATAAATAAAAATAAAAATACTGTTAAATAAATAAATTAAATTTGTTCTTGACAAAGATTACCTCATATTTATTCTTTTTTATTTTATTATTCTAAACTAAATTGCTTACAAAGAGTTTTGTAATTATACATAGAATTAAAATTTTTTTGCGTTTGTTTATAAGTTTAAGGAACTTAATTTTTAATGAACAAATTTTAACAAACTTTTATTATAAACAGATACGATTCAAATTATTATTTATACTTATTTTGTTTTATTTGAGTATTTTTTTAAGTTTGCACGATTAAAGTATTGCGTAGAAGTATTAAAAAGTTTTTTGTTTTAAAAATAGTTAACAAATGAGTTTGCATAATCAAGACTTTTATATTTAATTTAATTTTTATTTTTTTTTAATTTTATATAATTATGAAAAAAATTCTAATTGTTAAAAATGATTTTTCTCTATAGCTCTGTGTTTCTTTGTGATTTGTTTTCAATGTAAAACATTTTTACGATAAAGTTAAACATTTATGAATTAAATTCCTGACAAACTCGTTCTAAATTAGGTATCAAAAATATGAACCAGACACGATACTTTTTTATATTATACAACGCAAGTTAAAACGCTAAACAACATAAATTTAAAAAACAAAAAACCTAAATTATTCTTTTGTAATTAAAACAAAATCGCTGTTTAAATAATTAATAAGGGTTTTTGTTTATTAATGTGTTAATTTTTTTTGTTTATTAATGTGTTAATTTTTTTTGTTTATTAATGTGCTAATTTTTTTTGTTTAAAAATCATTGTAATGATTTAAAAACAATAATTATTCAAAAACAAATTTCAGAAATAATTAAAATGAAAATATATTTTTTTTACAAAATAACATTGAACTAAAATTAATTTTAGAATAACAATTAAAAAACATAACTAACTTTTTATAATATACTTTAAATTTTATTTACATTTAAAACGTTTATTGTTATTTAAATTTTTATAATATTTACATTTAAAACGTTTATAGTTATTTGAGTTAATTGTTAAATTGAACTGGTTAGCAGTTATTTATTTATTGCGGTAGTTAAATCACTTAACGTCTATAAAAAAAATAAAGATAGTTTTATGAAGTCAAATATCGCGTTAAGCTAATGCATCAAGCATTTTTTTATTTAAAACAAGACCTGGGGTAGTAAAAAAGTTTTGAAAACTATATAAAAAAAAAGAAAAGTTTCTTTAAATATTATAAAAACCTTAAGCAAAAAAAACTATAACATTTAATGATCTTGTTTGGACATAATACGCTGACAAAACCATGCTAATTCCAAATAAAAGTATTCAAATATTTTGTAAATTGCCTTAATTACACAGAGTCTGCATCATTTAGATTAGATGAGTCTGCATCACTTTTATGATTATTTTTGCATTTTTAGCCCATAAAATTGTCAAAAATGTTACATTTTGAAACTTAAACCCAAGTGGGTCAGCAAAAACTGGTAACCACTTACTTTTACTTCATAAATGTGTTTTACAAATCAAAACTCAGATATTAGAAGAGGACATTTTTTGATTTTTTTAAATTATATATCACTAATGGTCATTAACAAGAACATTATTTTTTATTCCTGTAAAAAAAAATATTTTACTTTTTACTTATTTTTTAATTATTTTTTTAATACTTCTTGTTTTTTTTAAATTTGTATTTTTTGTCTACTTTTTTTTTCAGCTCTTCTCAACCAAGAAACTAGTGAAACAGAAATCAACTCTAACCCCTCGATGAAAAGTTTGATATGAAGCAAAGCCAAATATGACTAATCTCTACACATATTGCAATGTTTGACTGGAATACAGCACTTAATAGGTTAACAATTTTCAACGAATATCAACTACTTATCCAAAAATATAATGAAGCAATATTACTATGGAGCAAATTTATTGTTGTTAGTAAAACAAACAATTCTGAAGAGTATTGCAAACTCGAGACGCAATTAAAAATATAGAGTAAAGTAAACTCTAGATGCATTTATAAATAATTAATTGATTGATTCATATTTTTTGAGAATATATTTATTACAGTACTTCTGGGCCTAATTTTATACAACAGATTTGACAACCTTATTTTTTATAAGCTATTGATGGTCCCAAAACTGATATTGAGATTGTCCCAAAACAGCTTGCTCAAAAATGCTTACTCAAACCAAATTTAACTATTAGCAAATGGAAAAGATCTTTATCAAACCAGAATATTAACAAAAGCTTGTTGCTTACAAATGCAAAAACTACTTATAGAATAAAAGAAAAGAAAATTTAATCTAGCATATACTAAATATCTGAATTTAAAACTGTTGAAAGATAAAAACAGACAAGAACAAGGTGAACAACCACCATTAGTATGATGGTTGTTCACCTTGCTCTTGTCTGTTTTTATCTTTACTGAATTAAATGATTCAGTAAATTTCAATAAAAGAGAAAAATAACCATGACTTAATTATAAATAATAAACCTGAAGATTTTGAATACATAAAAATTTATGTTATAAAAAACAATTTTCTTATTATTTTTACATTTGAAGCGTATATCAAACAAACATTAATAAGTATTCACTTAAAAAAAAACCTTTTTTAGCAAAACTGGTTAACACTAGAAATAGCATCTGGTTTTAAAAAATTCTTTCAATACTTGGATACTTTGATACTTCAATACTACGATACTTCGATAATTTACTATTTAATTATTTAAATAGGAAAATGTCACTATGGAAACCCGTCTAAACTACACAAGTATGGAATAAATGATATTAAACTTTTTTAAACAAAAAAAACATGCATTTGCTTGCATAATTTGTCCCTCTTGCTTCCAAGTTGTGAAACGTGACCTTAGTTACCCTACCACTCTAAAGTCAATATATAGGAATATGGAGGACTAAACAAATGTATTATATTATGCATATCTTCACAGATAAATTATTTTTGGCATATTTTTGAACATTTTTACAAAAATTGTGTACCAATTTCTTAAAACATTGTTTTTACAGAACAAAACTTATAGCTTTTAAAGTCTATTTTAATACATGGTTAATTAAGTAAAGATTAATATAAAAATGTAAATACTTGGTATGCTCGATTAACTACACAATATTCATCTTCACTTTCAAGACCAAAATTAACCAGTGGATCAGCAGGTATGTTTTGATCTCTAAAAAAGCACAGTAATGGTATAAAAATGGTTTGTAATACTTATGTACATATATGATTATTTCATATATGTTTACATATGTATATTGTTACTATTTTCTAATACATTACAAAAAAAACTTTATTGTTCACTTATTTATAAACAAGAAGTTCTGAATTTAATCAAGCTCAATCTATAACACACCTCAGGTAGTACTTTAACTTGTTTACCACACAACTACCTTGTTTGTCTCATGATTTGGAGTTAAAAGGTTGAGTGGTTGTTACAAACATTTGTGACCACTTTAGCTTTGGGGAGTTGAATACAGTAAAATTTAACAAATGTTAAAATGAATATTGTTTAAAGAATATTGAAAAAACATTTTCATCAAGCAATATTTTTTAAAGTTGCGGTAACTAGTAAAACCATTGTTCTTTTTGTGGTAGTTAATAAGCATGATGGTATATTTTAGAAGACTTGATTACAAACTACTACTACTACTACTACTACTACTACTACTACTACTACTACTACTACTACTATTACTACTACTACTACTACTACTACTACTACTACTACTATTACTATTACTACTACTACTACTACTACTACTACTACTACTACTACTACAACAACTACTACTACTACTACTACTACTACTACTACTACTACTACTATTACTACTACTACTACTACTACTACTACTACTACTACTACTACTACTACTACTACTACTACTACTACTACTACTACTACTACTACTACTACTACTACTACTACTACTACTACTATTACTATTACTACTACTACTACTACTATTACTACTACTACTACTACTACTACAACTACTACTACTACTACTACTACTACTACTACTACTACTACTATTACTATTACTATTACTACTACTACTACTACTACTACTACTACTACTACTACTACTACTACTACTACTACTACTACTACTACTACTACTACTACTACAACAACAACTACTACTACTACTACTACTACTACTACTACTACTACTACTACTACTACTACTACTACTACTACTACTACTACTATTACTACTACTACTACTACTACTAATACTAATACTAACACAGGGTTCAAAATAATGCAAAAAAATATATTTGAAATTTTTTTGTTTGTTCAATCCCCCCCCCCTCCCTCTGCCTGCTGCTTTGTGGTAAGGGACATTAGTACAAAATTGTATTTTTTGTATATTAGCTTGTAATTGATTTTAACAAAACATCTCTCATACAATTTATCATATTGGCAGGCTTTAAAACCATCTAAGTTACTGTTAAAACTTACAGTTTAAGTTATAATTTAAAGCAAAAGTTGCATTTACAATATGCACTTGTACATTACAGAGACAACTTAGGCTTTAACATAGCATATTTAATGTGTTATGTATCTAATGTGCAAGTAACATATTTAATAATATTATGATATTACTTTCAGTAATTGTTTTCACTTAATATAATATTTAAGTAAAAACGCAAATATTACAACATTTAAACCACTTGTAAACAGTTATAAAAAAACTATTTAATACCACATTTATGCTTAAGATAAAAAAAAACAAAAATAAAACAATTCTGTGAATTTGTTTTGTCAATATAAAAAGCTTGTGTTATTATAAAACAACTTCGCTACATAGTTTTATTACTGTTTTATACAGTTTAAAACATAAAACATAGTTATTAAAAACACAAAACATATTATATAATTTTATATTTTTTGCAAAAACATGCTTTATGTATAGACCAAACAACTTTTTTCTCTTTTGCTGACAAAATCAAAAGTTTTAACATAACAAGCTTTGCTGCCCAAACCTCAACTTTATACAACAAATGTATACTATGTTTCACTCTCTGTGACTAAACTAAATGTAACTTACCTAAGACTGCGTTTAGATATTAAAGCTCTTATTTCATTTGTTGAACCTTTTCTGATATCGTGAAATAATTTATTTTCAAAATTTGGAATCAAGACAAGCTCACCAATTCTTTGATAATAACGATGATAATTGGTCATATTATACTTTAACACTACAGAATAGAAATAGAAAATTTATAATAAAACCATTTTTTAATGCTTAAAAAACTTTAACTTAAAAAACGTTAACTTAATTCAATGTTAATTTTTAAAAGTTTTTAAAATTTATCTAATTGGGATTCACTTTAATAAGATTTTAACTTAATGAATATTTTTAATTTATAATTGACAAAACTTATTAATTTATTAATGACAATTAAAATTGATAATGGTACAGTTTTAGGATTTGATGACAACATCTTAGTAAACCAATGATATAACTAGATGTCTAACTTTGATCCGAAAAGTGAAGCTGCTTTTTGCCCTTTTTACAAATGGAGGATTAAATTTCTAAACAAATATTTTTAACTTATCTTTTCTTAAATGAAGTAAATTTATTTTAAATTTAAATACTATTTACATAAAAGTGTTAAGCGGAAATTATAATACTTGTAAAATAATAATTTATGATTCCTTAATTTATTTAAGGAATTTAAAAATTTAAAATTAAAAAGAACTAAAGTTTTGAATAGAAAAGTAAAACAACAGACGTTTTTGAAGTATTGTGAATTAAAATACTTTTTAATAAACATTGGCTCATAAAAAAACTTATATAAGTATTTTATAATTATTAAAATTTATTTTTGAATTCTTTAATTTTTCATCTAATTATATAATATATCATTGTAGCAGACAGAAAAAACAAACATCTTAGACAACCTTTTAAAAATCTAAAAACAACATCTTAGACAACATCTAAGAAGACTGCAAAAAAAAAAACATGACAAAACTCTCTGAGTTTTGTAAAAATAATGAAAAAGCAAAGAGCTAGGGTCAACACATCAATAATAGTAGAAAAATTAAAGAGAAGAGCTGACCAAATAAATATGGTCAACTATAACAGATGACCTATATATTAAGTTTTATATTGTTTTCAATAAGATAATATTGCCAACATCAATCATAATAAGTGATAATTCTTAAGTTGAAATAGTTAATAAATTTTCTTTGCTTGATGTCAAAATTGAAATAGTTAATAAATTTTCTTTGCTCGGTGTCATTATCTTCTGATTTGAACCATGATTTAAATCGAATCAAATCAAAACAACCCTGATAATCAGATATTGTTTTGAAGAAATGAGTTGTAAAGATTCAACAACTCAGAGAAAAAGTATTCTCTTTGACAACATTTACATGTAAGCTATTCCTAACTGCCTCAGCTGGTCGAAGACAATTACCAGAACTATAGTTGTTTATTAGGTAGATCTAGGATGTAATATCAAGACCTGTGGTTTTCATTAAACTACTGAATTATATCTATTTGTGTTTTAGGCTTTGACTATTTGGATATTAAGTGATTGAATACTTGATATTCTTTGTACTTGTTTAAATATATTTTGGCAGCTATCTTAATGGAAACCGATGCAAGTCTACCATTGTGTTTTAAATATTAAAAGGTTCTAAAATCTAAATGGTTCTCTTGAGTGAAGCTAGTTCGGAAGTAGCCTTCACAGCTTCATAATTTGAATAAATAGAAAAATAAAACAATGGCATCCTACAGTATTGCTACAAAAAATGTGGTAAAACGTTTTTTGGCTACAAAAAAACATTTTACCACATTTTTTATTATATACAATATATATATATATATATATATATATATATATATATATATATATATATATATATATATATATATATATATATATATATATATATATATATATATATATACATATATATATATATATATATATATATATATATATATATATATATATATATATATATATATACATATATATATATGTATATATATATATATAATACATATATAAATATATATATATATATATATATGTATAAATATAATATATATATGATATATTTATAAATATATATATATATATATATATATATATATATATATATATATATATATATATATATATATATATATATATATATATATATATATATATATATATATATATATATATATATATATATATATATATATATATATATATATATATATATATATATATATATATATATATATATATATATATATATATATATATATATATATATATATATATATATATATATATATATATGAGAGAGTGAGATTTAAAAAAAAAGATATAGATTAATAAATATTTAAGTGACTTAAGTTGTTTTTATGCGTTGTTTTATTTATTTATTTATATTCCATTTTCTTTTTTGTTTAATTTTAAAAATGAATTAGATTTAACAGATAGATATAATTAGATACATATAATAGACTACATATAGTAGACTATTAAATAGTAAGACTTTTTCTATTATTTTATTCTTGAATCTGAGGCCCTGCGGTCGGCACGAAGTCAAATTCCGCAAAAGTAATATTTAGGGTAGGTACAATCGGCAGAGCAGAGCAGATTGGCAGAGCAGATCATTGAAATATTAATAACGGCAGAGCAGATTATTCAATCAGCTGTTTCCTAATGTGTGATCTGCCAAATAATTCGGCAGATCATATAATAGAATTTTTATTATGTGATTGCCAAATATTTTTATGAAAAACGATGCACTTCGAATAGAATGAACTATGAGTTGACTTTTTAAACATAAACGTTTTTTATTGTCGCAATACTTTTCCTAAAAAAATGTGATCTGGCGTATTCTAATGTGTGATCTGCCAAATATTTCGGCAGATAATAATCGGCAGAGCAGAGCAGATTGGCAGAGCAGATCATTGTAATAATAATAACGACAGAGCAGATTATCACAGACAGACAATCAGCCGTTTTCTATTTTGTGATCTGCAAAATTATATTTTAATAATGCGTGATCTGCCAAATAATATTTGAATAATGTGTGATTTGCTAAATAATATTTGGCAGATCACACATTAGAAAATGGCTGATTGGATTAATCTGCTCTGCCGCTATCAACATTACAATGATCTGCTCTGCCAATCTGCTCTGCTCTGCCGATTGTACCTACCCTAATATTTATCCTTAAGTCTTAAGGATAAGGATCTTCCTAAGTTAAGAAGATATCCATTACGAAGATTTAATTTAAATTATAACTTTTTACATTTTTATTTTTCCAAGCATAAAAGTATCTAATAACAACATTACAAGCTAAACATTACAAACTTAACATAAAAAGATTAAAAATTATGCCTATATAATATAATTTATTATCCCTCTGCAATGAACACTTTAATTTTTAATCTTTTATACCAACGCGTTGCACAGTGGTCTGAAAAACTTGATTTTCGGTCAGAATTAAAATTTTGATGTTTTTATACTAAATCGATTGTGCTGAATCTAAATCCGAAAATAGATTTAATAAATTTTTGATTTAAAGGTTTTGTTGTTCAGATTCGCGTAAGCGATCCAGTCAAGATTTTCTCAAAAAGTTTTCATTTTTATGCTTGTGGCTTCATAATATATTGGGTTTATATATATATATATATATATATATATATATATATATATATATATATATATATATATATATATATATATATATATATATATATATATATATGTATATATACATATATATATATATATATATATATATATATATATATATATATATATATATATATATATATATATATATATGTATATATATATATAAATGGGCTGTCGCTAAGATGGCGGGGGGTTGGTTAAAAGCAACGCCACATCCCCCCCCCCCCCCTCCCCAACAAAGAAAAAATTTATATTCAGCCAAAACTAAATATTTTAAATAAAAATTGCAGGTGATGATTTACGTTTATTTTTCACAAGTTTTTCATCAATATTTTTAAATAATAAATAATAAAAATCGCGAAAATTCCTAAAACTTGTCATAAATTGGGTATTTATTTTTTCATAAAAAGCAACTATATTATTTTCAATTTAACAATCAATGTAAAGATATATAAGTTAATACATTAAATTAAAAACCATAATATAAAAAGTATGCGTACAATACGGAATAACAAAGATATGATTAAAAATGTAGTATAAAAACAACACAATATATATATAGCGTCGATACGGTATGATTGCAATGAACATTAGTTCCTTTATTTTAACTATCTGCTGCTGATTTTTTTTAGGAATCATTAAGCAATAATATATGTTCAAAATATACTACAATTATGTTTTAATAGCGGACTTAGCGTTTTACATAGATTTTAAATTTACCAAAATATGCAATTTTTAAAGTATTTTCATCTAGTTAAATATATGGAATATTTTATAAAAATAAAATAAAAATGAATGTTTGAACTATTTTTTAATTTAGGTAAGGAAGTACGATTGTATAAAAAAAAAATGTTTTTGAACATGTATTTATAGAAATAAAACAAAAAAAAGAGACACTATTATTTTTAATAACATAAAATAGGTATATTTTGGGAGCTTTAAAGTTGGTTTAAATAATTATATCTGCAGCTGATTTTTTTTTTAATAATATATGCATATTAAAATCATATAGATCAAGTCCATGCATGCGGACTTAAGTTTTAGGAAAAAGTTGAAAATGAAAAAAAAAACTTTCATTTTATGCTAGTTTCAAACATAAATAACTTATGCAAATACAAAATAATAAAAAATTATTATTATTTTTTTAAATAAAAAAATCTATGCATATGTGCATATAGTTTTAAATTTATACACAAATGAAAGAATGTTGTATTTCTACAAGAAATTATTTACCGGTTTTTAATCGCGCTTGAATACGGTTACTGACTTTTCTTTCAAAAAAAAAAATCAAGCTTATATATTTTTGAATTGCCTGGACAATATTTAAAGGCGAAGTTACTTCGGCTTCGACTTTGGTGCCGAAGTTGAAATAGAAATTCGGCTTTCAAATTTCAAAAATTCATTTAACTTTAAAAAGCTCTAAGGTTTTTTTCAATTTATAAAGAATAAGAATTATAAAATAAATGTTTTATGTATATCAATCTGCTTCTATTGGTTACAACCCTCTTTTAACTCTTTAACTTCGAAAAGTGCTTCAAAGA